TACTAAATTGATTGTTATGATTTAAATTTTTCTGTTTTGTAGGACGTCTTGTTAGTTATCCCATCATAGATTCTCAAGATGAGTATGCTTGATATTTATACACATTCATGGGCACTCCCAATAATACCAAATTGTCTGAGGCAGTTGACACTGTGAAATCATGGACACCATGGAGGCAAGAACCCATGAAAGTCTCCAGAGATTTCTGGATGCCCGACCAGAGCTGCAAGGTGTGCTATGACTGCGATTCTCAATTCTGCTATGACTGCGATTCTCAATTCAGAATTTTTAATCGTAGGCATCATTGCCGACTCTGTGGACGAATTTTCTATTCCAAGTGCACTGAACACTCCGTTCCGGCCCCTTCAGATGATCCCTGTAGTGGATGGGAAGATTGGGGTTGGATTAGGGTTTGCAATTATTGCTTCGAACGATGGGAACATGGTTCAGAGAAAATTGATAATGTGATGACTGCAGCAGGCCCTGAAATTAATCCTTCGCCTTCTGCTACAAGTTTGGTGGGCAACGAATCTAGTTACACTTGTAGCAGTGACAGGAGTGATGATTCATCCATGTGTTCTACTGAGCCACACCAGTGTAGTGGTGGTCCAGGTCCTCGTCATCCTGCTCAAATGGAGGATATATGTGCAGTCAAACATGTAATGATTCCTGGAAAATCACGTCGGATTGATACAAGGGACTCTGTCAGCAACCAGTCTCTTTTTTCTAGCAGGTATCTGAACAACTTTGTATGAGCAAGTAGCATTATATGTTTATATAATATTCTCCAGTTTGTTTGATTTGACACTATCTATGTACTTGTCTGTGTATTAAGTAAAACTATTCCTTCCGAGACTTCCATTTAAAAACAGCTAGCTTTTTCATGAAATTTCCTTTGAAAAATGTAATGTTTAGTAGTTAATACCGGTATGTTAAAGCATAAAGCCTGAAATTGTTATAATTTGTGTTTAATCCTAAATCATTTTGGTGGTAAGATTAAAGGATAAACCTAGCGATGTAGCTATGTGGTAATGCATATACTAATAGCTTTTACCAGTGTCATGGACCTCATGGTCCACTAACTGGGTTTTGCTAGAACAGAAAGACCTTACTGCAAAATCCAGCAGCTTTTTCTTGATACTGGAGTTTAATACTTGTGCCTGAGTGAGCCTCAAACTACATTTACTAGGTTGAGATAGTATAAGGAATTACCGCAAAATGTTCTCAGAGAACCATGAGTAGGTGCCATTGCCAGGGGAACATGTTTGTACTTCAACGAGGATAAAATACATTTAGAAGCCTTAGTATCTTAGGGAGAAACCTCTAGATCAGTTTACATCATCTTCATCTTAAAACTTGCGACCAACTCCTGTCCTCCAAAGATACAAGAATTATTCTCAATAAGCTTGACAAAATATATTATCAAAGCTCCCAGTTGCCAGACAAGGCACATTGAAGTCTGTATCCAAGGTTTGATTTTGTCT